TTGTGTTGTATTTTGAGCAATGGTATTACGAACGTTTCCTAAGTTCTAGAATTATTTATTGTATTTGGGTGCGAGAGTTGTGTATCTCAATTCTGGTTAAGTTAAGAGATGTTTTAAGAAGGGTTGGTTGGGTATGTAACCTATGGTTAGTGCTGATCTATGTGTAGGGTCACGGTGATTTAATGTTTATTGGTCGAGGTTTGGAATGACAGTGAGGAGATGATTGTTTTCAGAGATGGGTCGTGTTTTGGCTCACGTAGTGTTCTAAGTTGGTTGAGAGAGTAGTTGGAAATGTAGTGTTCTATAACTCGGGCAGAGGTGGTTGAGAACTTCTTTGTTCTTCTATGGAGTTAAGATAGTATAATTTTGAAAGCCTTGTAAGTGTCATGTGTATGTGTCGGGGTTTGGTTCAGGGTAATTGTTCGGTAAGTATTAGCAACTAGTAGATTGACTAGGGGACTTAGTGTTTTGGTTGTACTCGTATAATGGGTGATGGGATAGAATGTGGATTAAAGAGTTGACTTTATTGGTCATTGATGGATGGAGGTGTTGTGTTTACTTGTTGCATGGTTTGGGTTATTACGTGGTGTCAATGGCGTTGTAGCTTGGTACAAGAGGAAAAATATGTGAAACTCGTTGTTGTGAACTTGGTCGGATTGTGAGTACATGGGCAGAATGAGGGCATTAGTGTTGAGATAACCCACTTGGGGTTAAGGAATGATTTTGAGGAAAACAAAAATTTTCTTTTGATGTTGTGGCCTTGGATGGTCCTTTTAAAAAAAAACTAAACCGGTTTTGGTTGGAAATGTAAGCTTTTGGGTTAATTAAGAAAATAAAAAAAAATGTACTCAACCAAAAAAAAAAAAAAAAAAAGAAAAAAAGGAAAAAACAAGATAATATTTTGAAAATGAAAATGGTTTTGTGTTATAAACAACATGTATGGTGTTAGAAAGACGGTTTTGAAATCTTTGGGATTTTGTTGTGAACGGTTGAAAATGTGTTTGGGTTGTGATAGTATGAGCTTGAACACCTTTTGGGAAACCAAAGTATTTTGAAACAAATGAGAAAAATAAGGAATTTTCTTTAACCTAAATGGGTTGTGTTTTATTTTGTATTTGGGGGACTTGTTTTGATCTAACCTGAGTTGCTAGCTATGTGGTATGTGTTTATTTTGCACGAGCTTGAAATTGTCGGGCATTGATGTGCCATAACGTTATTAGGATTAATCTTGTTTTGTTTTATGTTCTCGTTCTACGAGAGAGTTGACTGGGAACCTTGTGTTCGAGTAGCTTTCCTTGTTTGAGTGTAAGGCACTCAGTAGCTATTTGAGTATTGTCGGCGGTTGAGCTGTAGATCATGTCTTTGGTCCGAGGAGTTATTGTTGTCATTGTTGTTATGGTAGTTATTATTTCTTGTCTTGTAGACCACATTGAGTTATGTGGATCGAAGCGTCATCGGTGAAGTTTTCTTACCATTTTTAGTGTTCGAGTGTCTTCGGAACCTCGAGGTCTTGGACCAAGACATATCCCCAGATAGATCAAAGCTTGGGTTAGCGTTACATTTCTTTTATAGATTGGGTGGCCTTTTTGATTTTGGTGTTTCTCAAATTTTGGGGACGAAATTTCCTAAGGTGGGGAGGTTGTAGCACTTGTGTCTTTTAAACTATTGGACAGTGCATTAAATTCCTTTATTTTCATTTTGGGAGTCTTTGGAGTTATTGTATTTTGGTTTTAGAGGAGTATAATTCAATTTAAACTTGTTGGGATTGTTTGTTTGTGCTTGTTTACGTTGAAAAGTTCTTTGGAAACTTAGAAAATCTATTCTGGTGTCGAAATTAGCCTTCTTAAGGGTCGACACCACCTTACTGCCCTGTCCTTAGTGTCTTTGCTGGTTTTTAGGGTCGACACCAGGGGCTCTAAGGGTCGACCTTTCCCTTGTTGTTTTGTTTTGGGTGCATTTTGAAATAAAGGGTTGACACCACTGGTTCCAAGGGTCGACCCTTGTCCTTTGCACACATTAGTGTCTCAGCTTTACTTCCTAAAGGGTCGACACCACTGTTTGAAGGGTCGACCCTTGTGAGTAAATTTTTAGATTTTTGGTTCAGTCTTGAGCTCTACTTTTTGGGGGTTTAACTTATTTTTCCTTTGACTGTAGGGCTTTTATTCTACCACTATAAGTAGACCCCAAACACACTTTCCTCACTTTCTCTCTCTCTCTCTCTCTCTCTCTCTCTCTCTTCCCCATTTAACTCGTGAATCCGTTTCGCTCTCTCTTAGAAACTCAACTTTCTTACATAGATCTCTAGATCTACTTGGTTAGAGGCATCTTTCCATGTTAGTCCTTTGAGAAAAGTTGTAGGTCTCATCAAGAGCTTTCTTTTGATCCAAGAGTTTCGTGGTTTCATTGACTTTGGTTTTTCTTCGAGTTCTCCTTTTCGCTTCAAGAGGAAGGGTCTATTTCCTAAACTCAATATGAGTTCGGTAGCATATTTATGTCGTATTTTGTTATGTATAGTTGGTAGTCATGTGGTATGATTTTTTTTACCCCTGCTATTTGTTATTTCAAAAGATCTATGGATTTGGGTGTTTTGGGTTAAACTTAGGGTATGGATCTTAAAATGTGAAAGAAGGATTTTTCAAAAGAGTTTTTGAACAAGGTTATGATTTTGTAAAGTTAGTTGACATATGTTGACATGGTGGCTTTCCTTTACTCAAAAGTGATTTTGAAAGAAAATAAGGTTTTGTGAAAATGGGGGATTGTTAGGCTATGATTTTGTTACTGCAGTTATTTTTGGTAATCAAAATTGCATATGGATCTTTAAAAGTGGAAAAGCCTCAATTTGTCAGCATTCCCTACATGATATTGTTTTTGGAGTTGGATTGATTTGTGCTAAATGGTTTGGTTGGAAAGGAAATGGTTGTGGGATTTTGGAAATGGATGTTGTTACTCTCTTGGAAAATATATCTATATGGTTATCTTTTGATTATTGCATTAGAGATAACTGCTTTGGCTATCGGTGGATGATTGTATTGCCGTGTGTTAGAAATTGCATGTGGATTAGGCAATTTGAAATCATTCATATCATGGAGCATGTAATGGATTTTGGAAATTGAAACTATATGTTTTAAAAAGAGGTTTTGGAAATTCTTACATTTTGTTTTGGAACATTTGCATTGTTTTGGAAAAATAATATTTTGAGTTACATGTATTGTACTATTGAAAAGGGTAAATGAAATGGTGAATCTGGGAGAAAGTTATTGTTATATCAAATAAGTTGGCTTGTGTGTCCAGGGTGAAAGTCCCGAATACCGCGTGTATGCAATGGTGCTGATCTCGCGGACGAAATTTTCGTGAAATGGAAATAGTAGTGCTTGTACAGCCTACGTTTATATGGGTCCTAGCTTACGGTTTCCTCCGAACGAAATTTTTGAGAAAGGTTGTATTTATTCTGGAGATTTACCCATTTATTTACTATTATGTTGGTTCCGGCATAGAATGTTTGGAATATGTTTTTAACAAAATATTTGCTGTTGTTTAGCGATGTATTCGCATTTGATTTAGCAATGTATTTGGTGGTTGGTATTGAGATTCCGAGATTGGTTTTTGGAAAGGAATTTTATATCAAACAGATGATTTGAACTCAGAAAACGTTTTGATTAAACATAAGGTTTTGGTAATTGGAAAAAAAGGATTTTGTTGAGAAATCAAATGGATTTTGGAAATGCATTTGGACATATTGTATATATGTATTGCATCATGATTATTTATGCTGGTCGAGCATGTTTAGTTTTTGAAATATTCTCTATTGGGTTTTATGCTCACCTTATGTGGCTAAAATGTTTTTCAGGTGTACATATGTGGACACAGACTGTAATGTGAAGTTATGTTCGAACAGTGTAGAGTGGTTCAGTTATTTGTAGGCTAGGGGCCATTTATGTTATTTATTAGTCGTGTGCCATTCTTACAAGGGTTACACCTTTGTGTATGATGTAAGGCTCTGGGCGTTTAATATGATTTTAAAACATTTGTACATGTTTTGATCATAGAACATCCATCCAACTTAGATCTTGTATCTAGGAATGTATAATATTAGATAAACACTTATATCGTGTGGCTATTGTACATCATCGAGTGGTTTATTCACGTGAGTCGGACCTTGTTAATTCGGGGCGTGACAAATTACACTCACCCCCCCTAAAGTTTAGTCTAATTACATCTCATCCCCGACGTTCTAGAAATTACATTTCTACCACTATGGTTAATAATCTCCTTTCACAAATTCCCCTGCTTATATGAAAGGTAACAACTCCAAGTAGAAAAACAGAGAAAATTAAGTTAAAAAAAAAAGTAAAGCAAATGAAAAAAAAAAAAAAAGACAAAAGAAGTAAACAAAGCAAGAAAATAGAATGCATGAGTTCAATGTCTTCATTCCGTCTAAATAATTACAATGATAGGGGAGTTAGTGTAATTTTTCAAACGTCAAGGTATGATATGTATTACAGTCAAATTTCAGGAGGTGTAAGCGTAATTTACCCTTTGAAATTTAATATAATAAATTTTATTATAAATAAACTCTCAGAAAAATATCATAAATAAAAAGTAAGAAATGATGATTAAATGTCATAAATTAATGGGGAATTTAAAATCTTATAGTAAAATGTAATATAAATTTTATATTAATGATAACGAAAAATAATTAATCTTATCAAAATAATGTAACAATAGTATTTTTAAATTCATAAACTATTTTAACGAATTGTTTGATTTAAAATGGACATATATAAATTTATCATGTTATTTTCGTTAAATATTTTATATTTATATATTACTAAGGTACTTACAATTGTTTGTTATGAAAGAAATGATGTGTAAGCACTAAACAAACAAGTATATAATAATGACACAAAATATGATAACAAAATTAAAGATCACACATAGAAATAAGGTAAATTTTAATACATAATTTATACGCAAAAAATATTTTAGAGAAAAATACTTACAGAGAGAGTGTTTGACGGAGACTACTCGCTTGTTAACACAAAACACACACACTATAGACTCTACTACAAGGGTCTATATATAGACTTTACTACACGAATTCGAAATAATGTTATGTCTGTGGATTTTATTTAAAATTGGATAAATTACACTCACACTCCCTAAAGTTTAGTCTAATTACATCTCGTTCCTGACGTTCTAGAAATTAAATTTCTACTCCTATGCTTAATAGTCTCATTTTACAAATACTCTTACTTATATAAATGACAAACAACTCCTAGTAGAAAAAAATAAATAAATAAATATCATATGTTTTCCCCAAACGGTCCATAGATGAACACCAAAGGAGTTTCCTTGTCCTATTTTTATTATTTTTTTTGAGGAATAAGTTTCCTTGTCCTTGTACCACCAGTGTTTAGACAAGGCAAAACCTGTCTTCAATTACAATTTCTAAATTTACATTCATAATATTTTTATATCACAGATAATAACCAAAAACTAGGTTTAAAATAAAATAAATTTTGAATTCTGCAATACATAATACATGTCTCTGACAAACCCAAGAAGAAGAATTTCTATGATAACTCCTTCCTGATGAGGAGAGAGAAAAAAAAAATTACATTAATTGCGATGACTATATTCAATTACATCCAGATTTTCCATGACAGTCACAAGTTTACAGTGTTCCCCGACTACATACAAATTGGACCAAAAAACATGGGTTGTATTTTCTTGTATACTAGTAATAATATATGTATACTCTTTATGTTCGCTAACCTCATCCATTGCTGCAGTTGATGAGCTGTTAGCATCATCGTGTCGTGTCATCTCTGCAGAATGCATATATTTCTCATGATTTCATGAAACAAAATGCACAATCGCCCCAATTGCACAAGACCATCGGTTAGATGTGATCACCTGGTGCTCCCTGGCATTGCATGATCACCAAGTTCATCGTCATAATCATCAGCGCCATAACTTCTATGATCTACAGTTGGCCGTTTTAATTTCTGGAATATTTCATCAAGGGATTCGGATGAGGAACCTTGGGAGTGATCCGTATCTTGAACCTGGCGCAAGGGAAGGAATTTCTTGGCCCCTATATTAGACTTGAAATTTTGGAAACCTGACTTCATAGATTCCCAGGTTGAGGCTACACCAGAAGACGATCCAGTGGTTGTATTCTGAGACTTGCTTGCATCGGATGAAGTGGCATTTAGGTTGGTCGGTTCTTTGCTTGGTTGTGTCCTTATGGCCGTGTACTTTCTGCCAATGGATTCTCTTGTGGTCTGATGTTGGGCCTCTCCTTGTGGAGGCTTTGAGTAACCTCGTTGTCCATCCTCAATTAAACTGGTTGTCGCTTTCATTTCAACGTTGACCTTTTTCAAACACCATTTCCAAGTAACGGAGAGAGTTATAATTTGTGGAATAATAAAACCAAGAAGAAATTAAATGGGCAAGAAGTGACTTAATAAGTTTATCTCATCTCTAATTTGATTTGGTAAATAAAAGAATAGATTATTTCAACCAAAAAAATAAATAAAGGAACCACAATCAACCAATTGGACCAACCAGTATGGGTTTCTTAGTCATTAATTTTATAAGAAGTTAATGACATCAGAAATTGCTAATATATTTTGGGACCTATATGATGCATCAGTGGAGTAAAATAACGTTTTTCATTTGTCTACGAGATGTCAATCTAGACACTTCTTTGGTTTAATTGCCAGAGCAGTCTCTATAACATTGGTTCGAGTTTGTATGTCAACGAAAGAATCAACTATGAAATTAATTGCCAAAAAATACAAGCCTTAATAGCAATTAGGTAGGGTTGGCCACATGAACCCATTTTCTCCAGTTGCCTCAATTATAAACCATATCCCCAGTCAAAAGTGTCCTTAATGTCATAAATTGAAAAAATATAAACCTTGACCATTTTGAATAAAAATATATACACAGTATAATTGTGACTGGTATTCTTTGTTAAAAATGAAAAGAACAAAAGGCAAAATCTTTTTTTTGATAAATAAAAGGAAAAATCTTATTATATTACTAGGAATTAATACATACCTTGTTATTGCTGCTAGACTCAAGATCCAAGCTTACATTGTTGAAATTCCTTGCTAATGGAATAACAAGTTCACCAACCTTGTGTCCTTGTTCAAGCCAAGACCGTTCTAAAAAGAAAAATGGAAAAAAAAAATTCATATGATTTAAGCAACTATAGTGGTTGTTGATAACCAGGAGAGAAATAAATAAATCAGTTTTCATTTGATTTTCAGTTCTTCTCTCCCATAAGTGATATAGCCCACAGGTTCAAGAACATTGAATCCAGAATTCCATAATGCCTATAACTGCAAAATGCAAAGGATAGAAACATGCCAAACACATGCCAAACACACACCAAATACAAACAAGAGACATGATCTCAGTTTACACACCTTTCTGCAAAATAATCAATCCTGATGGATCAAATCCATCCATATCTTCAGCATCACTTTGAAACCTGAATATCTTCCAGTTTCCAAAATAATTAATGACCCGATCAAACAAATTGCTTGCAATCACTATGGTGTATATAACCATGATAAGCGGGTAGATTTTATTGAATCCTTTCCCAAAGAAAGGGACAGCATCATCAATATTCCCCATTCTCTGCACATGAAAATAGGATACTGTCACACTTTCAAATAAAGGATATAGTTAACAAAATGTATGCACATTTAACTATACTGAGAAATAAGAAATGATACAGAAAAGGCATACCTTTTCAAAGACAGTTTTGCGGTCGCCTTCCAGACGAATAAGATTAAGAAAGTTGTAGGAAATTGGAGGTGCATATCGAGCAACCATCCTGGTAAAGATGTTTAGTGAGAATTATTACCAACATCCTCAAGAAGTAAATACACATCAAATAGATGTCTCACAATACACATAAAGTAGATATCTCTGAGAGTTTGAACAATGCTTTATTAAAGAAAAAGGGAAAGACGGGGGGGAGGATACATACGAGCATATCATAAGCAAGCTGACTGAATTTGTTTGTCTTGGAGTAAATGAGTAAAATGTTAACATTCCAATTTTGAACAAGGAATAGTATGTGCAAACACACATATACATCAGAGGAATGAAGGCAGTCACTTGCAAAAGAAAAACAAATTAATTTACAAGGGCATTTTACAAAATAGAACTTCATAATTGAATTGATGGCAGGGTAATATTTTTCAAGCAAAGAGGCCACAACCCTCATCAACTCCAAGCTGACAGTAATTAGTCTAGTCTGCATCAAAATATCAGACAATGTGGTTCAAATCAAAACAATCTTGCACCATGCCTAACAGAAGAGGGAAGTCATGAAACCAACACCTATTGTTTTCCTCCAGTCAACTGAACCTGATGTGTTTCAAAATCAAAAGGAACTATGGAATTAACTAATACTCAGTCATTTATGTTTTACATTGACAAAGCACAAGAGACCCTTTTGCAGAGAACAAAAAGAACAAGAAAATTTAACCCTGAGGGGCCATCAACAACACAAGAAATCCAACCACATCCTTTGCCTGCTTTTAGAACAAATATACAAGGTTCATATTCCTAGTTCTCTAATTTGAATGGAACTTTGTATTCTCAAGAAAGTCAATGATGAGGACCTAAATCAGATTTTATCTACTTTATTTCTCGGCTTTGCAATTTCACATCTACCACTACTAATAAATAAGGTTCTTTAACCAAGTCCACAGCTACATGCAAATATGCACTTTGGTTCCCCCCTCTTGGCAACTCTTCACTTCACTTGGTTCACATTAACAGAATTCTATGAACCGGGATGATAATCATGACTACAGTGCTACATAAAAAAACCTTTCAGATTGGAAGGTGAACCATCCAAAGCATCTTTTGGAAAACCTTCACAGCTTAGGTTATGCCAAACAGATTAGGACCAAAAGGTGTTATTCCTTAACCACACAGTATAATACATATATTATCCCTGCTTAATGATGGTTTTTCCTCGAAAATTTATTCAGAACTTTTAATTGCTACTAAATTACGTATGGCACGTCCAAATATTTAGCCTCCCACATTTTTTTATAAAATTATTCATGGAGGAAAAGTTGTGACTTATGTGGAGCTATCCATGAAAAGATGGTTGAGGGTGAGAGAAGCAAACTTCTTTTGTTTTTCCTTTGATTCAGTTTTCTCAGGAACAATTTCCTTTCTGATGTTCTCAACAACCAAATAGAGAGTAATGGAAATGAGGAGTGATTCATGATTAACTAGACATTTTTCACATTGAAATGCACCATCACAAGAATAAAACAGAAGTCTAACTTGCCACTGTATAAAACTACGACAGGAATAACATGTGGATGTGGTCCAAAATTTCCATAGTCAAATCAAGTTATAGTTTGTTAGTTGTACTCTGGAGGATGTGGTCCAAAATTTCCATAGTCAAATCAAGTTATAGTTTGTTAGTTGTACTCTGGAATCAAACAAATCTTAATTGAAAACTTAAACCGAATTACTAAATATCTAAAATATTTACCTTTTGAGAATCAAAGCTTTGATTTCACCTAAGATAAGCTGATGGAACTAAAAGAAAATAAAAACTATGACAAAATTTACCTGCACAAGCGCCTCTTCCTTTCCTACAGCTTTTATTAGTATAGAAAATAGAGATAAATCAACCCCACTGGGCAGTATAGTAGTCTCAGCCAGAAGAATTGCATCTGACATACAGCCGAGTATCACAGAGAAGACTGTCTGAAGTTGCTTCCTTAGTATACAACGCCACACCTAAGATAAGCTGAAGTTGCTTCCAATGTATATTAAGATTCTTGGTATTTTATTGTCTTCAAATGTGGGAGGAACTTTTCTACTTCATACAAGTACCAACAAAAATGATCTTCGAGTCTATTTATCAAAAAAAAAATAAAAAAATGACCTCTGAGTCTGCCTTCCAAACGTACACCGTATCCAACAAAGGGGCAATTCCAAAGTCTGCTTCCTTCAATATAGTCACTTCCCAATGCATCAAATCAACTATCGACCTAGGGAAGACCCACATCAAGCCAAACAAAGTGGCAGCAGTGACCAAATCTCTTTCGCCATGCCACAATGAATTTTGGACATCTAATGGAAAGAAAATTATTCCTTTGCATTTTATGTAGCTTCTGAGGGCCATTTTGTCTAGAGCCATTTACAGAATGAATATATCACATTTGGAGCAGGCGACAATGATGATTGATAGAATTATTAAACCTTTCTATTAATGGAAATATCATTATTTTTTAAAGCATTTCATTCTGAAGGATATAAATGAGTCTTCAAATGCAACACAAAACAAAACGAAACTTCATAGCCATATTTAAATGCTTCAATCAGCCAAAACTAAAACGCCTATTTAAGAAAATAATGCAACTAAAACTAGCATTATTGTCGAAGGAGGTATTATATTTATAAAATAAAAAAAAGGAATTTCAACTATGAAATAGATGGCTGGGAAAAACAAAAAAGTGCAAACACAACAAATAACTTCAGTATAATTTTAATTTTTACCTATCATATCAAGAAGAGACCCTAGCTTGCCTGCTCGCTCAGGCCTGAAGCTTGAAATGTATTTCCTAAAAATTTGCAAAAAGCAACCATTTAAACCCTAGAGCCCATAGAAGCAACCTTGAGGTTAGCACACAAACCAAACAAGGTACTATGCAGTATCACCAATGAACTGACTTGTTAACTCAAATAGAAGCTACATTCAGATTCTTATGTCACTCTTACAAAAGAACAGCTTAAATTATGATAACAAGGCAATTCCATGAAATTTAGTACTCTCTCATTCTCCCAAAGGATATACAGGATAAAAGAGCAAGTAAGCACAAAGAAAAGTCACAAAACCATCAAGAATGTTGCACTAAGAAAGGAAACAAAATAATGATAACAAAGTAAAGAATTGTGCTGGTTCACAGCCCAAATTAACCACAAAATATATCTCTCGCACTGTTCAAAAGTAAGTCATAAATATATTAGGCAGCAAAAAATACATACAGCATCAAATAAAAGAAGAGAGGGGGGGTTTGTGTGAGGAAATTTAAAGAAAAGAGAAGAAAAAAGCCTGGATTAAGAGCAAACCATCCAGTAGCATCACGATGATCATAATTCTTTACAGTGTCCTCCAGCTCGAGAGCTTCCATCACAAAATTCATATATTCACTACAAACCCAATAATAAAAAAAAACAGTCCTTGGTCCTGTGTGAACATCAAAGTAAAAACCATCCAGTAGCAAACCTCATTCAAATCACGGGTCATGTCTTTCAATTTATCCAAACCTTCTGATATCACTTCCAATCCTTGGTCCTGTGTGAACATCAAAGTAAAAAACAATTAGATGCTGCATTGTCGACCTGTAGGGTGTGAAAATACACCATTAATAATTTAAGAATACTTGGTTACATAACAAAAAAGGTCAGTTACAAACAAAAAAAGGTCAGTTACAAACTTGAGACCCTAATGTGCAGCCCATTTGGTGCTTCAACTCTTGGAAATTTCATTAGCTTATCTCCCCCCTTCATATTGAACCACTCTAGCTGGCATTCCGAGACAAGTGTCGTCACTGTCCTCCCGTCTCATTGTAATCTTAATCTGATACCATCTACAATGCACATAAAATTAAAAAATAAGAAAGAAATGATCAAATAGAAAGAGAAATGGATATAATAGAAGAAGAAGAAGTAATAGAAGCATACATACCCTTGTTGGAAGAGGTTGAGATTATGAAAGCGATGAATTAAGAAATATATATAGCCTTACCATTTTGATTGGTTCTGTGCAACTATATGTGTAGCCATCTTGCTCCATGGAAGATCCCACCATCCATCCATATTGCCATCATAATGGAATAATATAATTGTAAAATTCTTTGAAAGAAACTGAATTCACAAAAATTAGGCAAATAACGTCCACATAATGACATGTCCAATGTCTACGAACTATTATAGCTTTGAATAACAAGCATTAATAGACAACTATACCTTTTGAACAATAACATCAACATTACTCTTTTGTTTAATACCAACTGGAATTGCTAGTAAGTTATGAGAGCTTGAAACATCAACCTGATAATCTAGAGCAAAGACGAGTGTAGTCTTTCCACATCCTTGTGGAGCACTAAAACCAATCTGCATTACAAAAACTTTATGACATAGTCCATTGGTTGTAAATACACATCAAGACTATAAAAAGTGTCATGAACGTGGAGCTGTCTTGCATCCATTGGTTGTAAATACACATCAAGACTATAAAAAGTGTCATGAACGTGGAGCTGTCTTGCATCCATGAACCTCTGTGGCCTGCAAAAATAATTTGGAAGTGTTGTTCATTGACTAAAAACTACACCCAAATTAATCCCCATTTGATGGGGTTCTGGGAGAGGTAGATTGGGTACAAACCTAACTTTTAGCATAATTTGCACGAAGTGTTGTTCATTGACTAACGCTTCAAAATAAGACATGGAACACACCAGATATAAAAAGCAAGGAAAAAAATAAAATAAAAAAAATTTGATCTCATTAGCATTTGGAGACACTCCATTGACAATTGCTTTCTCTATGGCATTCCATTTAAAAGAATTCAACCCCTAAAATGTGTCCATGAAAGAACAGGACTTGTCCATATTTCCAAGTACAGAATTATCATCATTTCCTTGAAATGAAAAAGTTCAAAAAAACTTACAACATAATTTGTGAAACGGCTGCCCTTATAATGGCCACAGCCAAGATGATATAGCCTAGAATGTTATATAAAATTTCATTGTGGTTAACAAATGTCCATGGGACCAAAAAAAAAACTAATGAATAGCTTGGTCATTCTCATGTTGTAAATCAATATCAGATTTGGTTGCGAAGAGGACAGAATATGTCCTGCTCCTTTCTTTTTCTTTTAGTTTTTTTTTCATTGTTCTCTTGAATTTTTTTCAGATATAAGAAACAACAGCTTTGAAAAACCTTGGAAGTACAAAAGCAATTGACAAGTGACAAATAGTAATTTTATGCCTGTGATAATGCTGCAAAGTACAGAAATACTTTGTAAAATCTGTGTCTGGAAAAAAAAAAGTTTTCAATCTGTATTTTTTTGGTTTTGAGTGAATTTTTTTAATATTTTAATCATTTTTTAAAAAACTTTTTGGATCTATTTAATCTAGATACACTTAAAAGTACAAAATTTGCAGGGAAAAAAATCTTTAAAAAATTCACTAACTACAAAAAAATATAAAAATTAAGTACATTTTCTTTTCTTTTCTTTTTTTTTTTTTGTACTTATTGAATTCTTTGTAGATTTCTTCACGAATATTTTACATTTTAAGTGCATTTAGATTAGGTGCTTCCAAAAAATTAAAACAATAGTGTTACTAATCTACTAGTCCATAATTATCTTAGTTTTACGAATTCAGTGTAACCTCCAAAAATTTATATTGGTTATCAAACATGGCCTAAACTAATACTCAATAACTTCATAATTAAGCGCATTTAATAACATAAAACAGAGCACTTAAAAAATATGAAAATATTTAATCGAAAAGGAATTTTTATTCATGGAGTTCAATTATCATAAAATGTTGAATATATTCAGAAGAACCGAGACAGTGAGTACCTTTCTTTGTTTGGTTCTTTTGGCTGCTGCTTTCCAAGGAAACTAGGCTATCTGTAACTGCATTTAGTAACTTTGCCACATCAATGCCCTGTTTGGTATTCGAAAAAGAGAGAGTAAATGAACAAGAAGAAGAGGGAGTTTCTTGTGGAGTATCTTCCTGTAGTGTCTGGTTATCTAGGTTGCTATCCAAATGGCTCTTCTTTGGGATTTCATGATAGGAACTTTGGTGGCCTGGTTGGGGTTTGCTTCCACTATCTAAAAAATCATAATAAGAAGCATGTTGAACAAGTATGTTCTTGATGTCAATTGCCCACATGTGCCTTTCTTTCATCACCACTAATTGTTTTGGGAACAAAAACGTCATCCTCAAAAGTCCTACAATTAATCAAACACAAGTGAAAATTTAACTGCTAACAATATATATCATATGTCAAACATACACAATTAAACAGTTGAGATTATTGAATCCTTACTCTCTTCTACTTTCTTTTTTATATTATTAAATGTGAGTAAAAATTTAATTAAAAACTTGAACTTATATGGAACATTCTTAATTCTTACTCTCTTTTTTTTTTTAATCAAATTATTCTTCAAATTGCAGTATGGTCGATCTAATATTTTACCATATTTGAGCAAAAAAATGGTTTTGAAGTAGAAACGAGAAGACAGCATATCTGATTCGGCGATTGAGACTCTGGAATGTTCGGATCGGAGATAATGAGAAGACAGCATACACAAACATACACAAACATATACAGAAGTTGATGAAAAGAGGTTATTACTGAAAACGGAAGGATTCGAAGGAGCTTACCAACATATCTGATTCGAAACCCCCACATTTGGATCAGGTGTTCTTTGAAACCTTTAGATCTGGCTTTAATTAGTTCGAAATCCTTCAAATCTCGTCTCTTGTTCTTTTCTTCAACGAGCACCACCACCGCCATCCTCTTCCACCACTGTAGCTGTCGATCTGAAGCGATAATGAGAAGACAGCAGCGGCGGTGAGTGTGGATGAGATCGGCAGAGGAGAGAGAGAGAGATGAGTCTGGTGACAGAGAAGAGTGAAAAAAAAATGAAATCAAAATCAAAATCACTGAGCTTGATGCAGATCGACTTGATGCAGATAGGTTTACCTCTCAGTAAATGAAATCGATTCTGAAGCTTGATGTAGATAGGTTTACCTCTCAGTGATTTCTATGTAAATGGAATAGGTAAACAAATTAAATCACCAAGATGATTCCAATCGATTCCTATTCTGAAATCACTCTGAGATTTAAGGGATCACCGAGCTGAAGCGAGAGAGTGAGCGAGAGATTTGAGGCATCTTCTTTCTGAGACTGAAGAGTAAAGAATGAGAGTCTCAAGCGGGAGGGAGAGGGTGTGAGAGATTATAACACATTCGGAGGCGTTTTCTATCAGCTAAACGTGCCGTTTTGATTAGCACAAAAGGTGACGTTTATAAAATGCCATTAAATATTAAAAAAGACGACGTTTAAAAAAACGCCATTATATAAATGCCGTTAAAACAAACATTTCTTGTAGTGTTCCTAAAGTGAGAGCAAAAACAGCAGCCAACTGCAGTTGGGCTTCAACTTTATCATCTGAGTACTGTTGAAAAAATTGGTTTATATAAACATATTTTGGGTCAACTTTGAGCCCAAAATTGAGTGGGCCCCAAACGTCTTTTGGGGTGGGTCCGAAGATATGAAGTGTTCCTTGCCGCGTGGCAAGTCATACGGTGAAGACGGTTCGTCAAAACCATTTATGAGTGAATGAGAACATGACGTCGTTTTTGGGTTCGTGGAATAGGAAATTTAAGGAAGTAAATGTAAGTTTCTTTGGAAAGGGTTGTCCCACATTGAAACTTTAAGAGAGTTTATTTGTGTATATAAGCTCTAGCCTACAATACTTGGGTTGGGCCCCAAGGGGCACCCCAAGTTTGTAGAAGGGAGAAGTTATGGACAAAGTGAACCTTAGCCCAAACAACCACCACGCGTGCACGTCGCCGCCGGCCGTCC